CCTCTACATCCAGGTCTCACTCTGACTTGGGACCAAACATACAGCCTCTCTGTGCCTCTGCTAGTCTCTCCTCCTGTGGTCCCTGCCCCTCCTTCATCACCTCCAGCACTCCTGTCCCACCGAGGTCCAGCTCGGGCACAGCTTCCTGCCTCCAGCCCTCTGACCATCTGATTGCGCTCTGCATCAGGGGCTTGGTGGGGCCATTCCCACAGGGAACCCGGCTCCTGGCCTTCCACGAGTCACGGCAACATGTCTCTGTGGCAGACAGGACCTGGCCAGCGGGGCTGGGCACTGAGCCGGCTCTGGTCCCATCCCTGCCTGCCCGAGCATTTCCAGGGGCAGCAGTGTGGCGCACCCAATCTCCCACCAGCCAGGCCGGGAGGGGCCCTCAAGGCTGGTGCAGGCTGCAAGCCCCCCTACCCCACCCCACCCCTGGTCTGGTCGGCAGCCCGCCAGGCCCAGATGACGACACACAGGCAATTTTCTCCCGAAACAAATGGAGAGAAATTGCTGTAACAGACGAACAGCCTCTGTTTCAAGCTAATTTCCACATAATAGAATCAAATGACTTCCCTTTCCTTTCTGCCGTCTCCTCTGCATAATTTGACAAATTGCAAAAGCGATTTGATTCAGGGGCTCAAACGCAGGGGCGATTCTTTCTGATAGTCACGGACAAATGGCTGGGGGAGGGTGGAGAGAAGGCAGAGGTCCCCACAAAGTGCTGGCTGCCTCCATCCTCGGGAGAGTTCGCCTGGAGGGGTGCGGGGGGTGGTCCCTGAGACTGCTTCGCAGCTGTCCCGGAAAGCAGGGCCCCGCAGAGTGGGGTGCCAGTGGGCTGGACGCACCTCGCATTCCACCACCGCTCCTGCTGGCAAGCAGAGGCCCATCTGGGAGGCTGCTGTCCCCGTGTTTGGTGCGCAATATGTCCTGTGGGGCTTGCCAGGGGGCTCCTGGCTTGGAGCTGGCGCCTGGCACTGCCAGCCCTGCTCCCGGCCAAGGCTTTGGCTTGTCTTGTGCTGCGATTCCGCGATGTGGTGAGAAGAGCTGGGCCCAGCCGGCAGAGGCAGCGGGCACTCGGGTCCCCGCCTGGCCCCCAGCTCTGGGCATTCACAGTCCCGTCCCTGCGCTCCACACACTCCGCCCGGTTCCTCACATGTACTCAGAACTCCTCACTCCCGACCCCCGGGGGACCAGGGGCGGCCCTAATGCGAAGCCCAGGGCCTGGCACGCTGGGGGCGTGCAGACTGTATGCGGTGGTCGGAAGAATCATAAACGCATGCGTGCGGCTCGGGCTGGGGTCCTGCCTGAAGCCACATCCCACACTGGCGTGCAAGTCACAGCCAGCAAAAGGAGACAGCGATGTTGACTAAAGGGAGTTTATTTATTTTAAGATGTTGCTTTTAAATTAAGGTAATGGTTGTTTTAACAATATTTGTGTAAAAATTATACAAATAACACATTAAAACAGACTTGATATTTCAACGTGAGAGTCTCCTGGCCCTGTGCCCCCCAGACACATTCCTGCGTTGGGTTTGGTGAACACCTTCCAGACCTTTCCAAGCATTTTCATGCAAATGTGAGTGTGAAAACACACACACACACCGATTCCGGCGGTTACAGGATGGAGCCACCCCCCCCCCGTAATCCCGTGTTCCCCTCATGGAGAGTCTGTTTCCGTGGTGGGGGTGCCCAGGCTGGAGCAGGTCGTGCTCGCAGTGGGGTGACAGGCCCCACTCGGACCCTCGTCAATTGTCCTTGCCCAGAGCATGGGACAGGCAGCTCCACGCAAGATCCAGGGAGACTCAACCCATTGCCTCCCCCAGGGCTGTGGTGTGGGGGTCAGTTGTCCTCCCCCCCCCCCCCCGCCCCATCCAGGAGGCCTGCAGGCGGGAGACGCCCAGAGGAATGAAGGGACAGCGCCAGACATGGGCGGCTTCCAGGACCCTCAGGGGAGCCAAGGATGTCGAGGGCGAAAGATGAAAAGAATCAAAGCACAGGGGCAGGACAGCACCCCGCCAGGCCAGAAGTGTGGAGTGCCCCCAAGAACAGCACTGTGCAGGGATCGTGATGGTGCCAGTGGTGGCATGTTTGTGGGGCTGGGAGGCAGTCTGAGCTGGGCTGCAGGGCCTTGAATGCCAGGCCACGGGGTGGAGCTTCCCCCTGCAGTCCCCAGGTGGCCACGGGATGGAGGATGGGACAGGGAGCCCAGCTGGGGCGGCTTCAGCGTCCTCCAGGCCCACGGTGACACGGACTGAACCGTGGGAGGGGGCCATCTCGAGTCACTCTCTGGAGATGGAGACATTCTGGAGGCCAGCATATGCTCGGGGAATGCAAACTGATTGAAATATCAGCCTGAGAGAGACGTCGTTAAGAAGCTGGATCTGTTGCCAAAACATCTACCGTGTTTCCAGCCAAAAACGTGTGGTCGGGGGACAGTCAGCGTCTGCGAAAACTGCCCCTCCAGGGCGGCTCGTTAGGAGTGGATGCGGCGGGCACATGTCCAGTCGGTCCGTCAGTCATTAGTGGGCACGGGGGCCTTGACACCCCGCCAGACCGGGGCGGGTGGGGGGCTGTGCAGCCAAAAGAAAATTCTCCAAATCCTCGTGGCTGCTGAGAGCTCAACACAGGAGCGAATGTCCTGCACCAGGCACGCCAGAGCACAGGGGTACTCAGGCCAAGAAAGGATTGGAGGTTGGAATGTTCTGGAAGGCTTCCTGAGGAGGAAGGGCTTGTGCAGAGCCTTGCAGGATGGGAGGACAGGGTCCTTGTCAGACCTGGGAATCTGGATGTTCTGCAGAAGGGGGCGCTGGTGCCGGAGCCCAGCTGGCTGAGGCCGCACTCTCCCCTCAGTTTTCCACCAGAAACCCATCTTGAGCAGCAAGCTGGCTGGGCTCCGGCTGGGCAGTGCCCCTGCCAGCCCCGGAGCACGGATCTGGGGGTTTCAGATTAGTCCTGGGTCCAACAACTCCCCAGGCCTGGGCCCCTTCACACCAGAGAGACCGTGGCTGGTGGGCCCCTCTGTGGGGCAGGGCATCAGCCCCCGAGACGCCTGCCCTCCAGTTGCTTAGAGGGTCACCAGGAAGTCAAGTGCCCCCCAACGGGGCCGCCTGCCTGCTCCAGGGACCGTGAGTCACTACTTAAGACTGAGGGACGAGGATCTCACCCTCTCGGCAGAAGAGAGGTTAACTCAGCCATGTAATTGCTGGTGACAGCCCTGCAAATGATTTATTGATTTTTTAAAAATAAAAATATGTCATATTCTCTGGTTTGGGTATAGACCAATTATGTGGATGGGCCAACTGGATGGAAACTCAGTAGTTTATACCAGATGCCAACTTAGAGCCGAGCCAAGCAGGCACAGTGCTACCGCGGCAGAGCGCGGCTGCCGTCATCTCGCGTGCCCGCATCCACGGCTCTCCAGGAATCTGTGCGGTCGCTGTGCCCGCCTGCGCTGTGCCCAGTGCCCAGGCCAGTCAGACATGCGGCTGCCCTTGAGGAGCTCGAGGCAGTGGGGACAGGAGAGGGAGGCTGGTCTTCCATGGGGTCCACGGTCCATGCATGTGGTGGGCCAGCGTGGCTGGGGGCTGGGGGTAGGGCGTCCCACAGAAGTGACTTTCAGATGGGGACTCCAACAATTAGGACAACCCAGTCAGGGATGAGGGCAGAGGAGCACAGCCTGGGCAGTGAGAGCACATGTGGGGAACTGAGGCAGCACAGAGCAGGGGGAATGTCAGGAACAGGAAGAGGACAAGGGCCAGGTGGTGTGGGAGGGTCCCCAGGGCTCCACTACATAGGACCCTGTGGGTCTTGCTAAGCCATGGAAGGTTTTAAGCAGGGAAATTTCACCAAATGTTGTTTTAAGAGGCTCCCTCTGGCCCAAATGTTCATCAACAGAGGAATGAGTCAACTGAGCATGGTCTATCCATACAATGGAATATTATTCACTCGTAAAAAGGAAATTCTGGGGGCTGGCCCCGTGGCCAAGTGGTTAAGTTCGCGCGCTCTGCTGCAGGCGGCCCAGTGTTTCATTGGTTCGAATCCTGGGCGCGGACATGGCACTGCTCATCAAACCACGCTGAGGCAGCGTCCCACATGCCACAACTAGAAGGACCCACAACGAAGAATATACAACTATGTACTGGGGGGCTTTGGGGAGAAAAAGGAAAAAATAAAATCTAAAAAAAAAAAAAAGGAAATTCTGACTTGCTACAATGTGAATGAACCAGAAAAACACTATGCTGAGTGAAAGAAGGTGGACACGGAGTCCACGTATTGTATGATTCCGTTTATATGAGAAATCCAGAACAGGAGAATTTACAGACAGAAAAGAGACGAGTGGTTCCCACGGGCTGGGGAGAGCGGGGGATGGGGAGCAGCCGCTTCCTGGGGGTGGGGTTTCTCTACGGGGTGACGATAATGTTTTGGAACTAGATAGTGGTCACACAACATTGTTAACGTACTAAATGCCACTGGGGTAGGAGGAGGGTGATGGAGGAGGAGGAGGAGGAGGAGAAGGGAGAGGGTAATGGGAGGAGGGGCACGGGGAGGAGGTGGAGGCAACGCTCACAAAGAAACAGGCCCAGCTTAATTTGGGTGGGAAATGCGGAGACGGTGGTCCTGGAACCAGAGCAGGGAGTTTTTGCACCTGGGCGCTGTGTGTCACGGGGGTGACAGAGCACAGTGCTCTAAGACGTGCCCATTGGATTTGGCGCCTGGGCGAGCGTGGTGGTACCCTGAAGGCAGAGCGGGAGGATGTGGAGCCGAGGATGTGGAGGGCGAGGGCAGCCTCTGGTGGCTGGAGTTGTAGGAAGAGTCCATTTACGTCCACAAGAAAGAAGACGTGCTCCCTGCACGTGAGACGAGAAACGGTGCAGAGGAAAGACCAGCCACCCCGCCCCCCTCCCTCCCTGCCCCCTCCCCTCCTCCCCTCCTCCTCTCCTCTGCGTGCACCCCACGCCCTCGTCCTTGCCCACGCAAACGTAAATGCACACAGAGGGGCGGCTTTGTCTTTATTGGTTAGTTGGCTTCACAAAGGGGCTCTTGGGGCTGGCCCCATGGCCTAGTGGTTAAGTTCAGTGCACTCCACTTCAGGGGCCTGGATTCGGATCCTGGTTGAGGACCTACCTCACTCATCTGCCTCTATGCTATTGCGGTGACCCACATACAAAATAGAAGAAGATGGGCACAGATGTTAGCTCAGGGTGAATTTTCCTCAGCAAAAAAAAAGGGGGGGACTCACATGGGGGCATGCAACCATACATTAAACCATCCCATTTATGGGACTTCATCAAAATGCAGCCAGGAGGCTGCCCCCCTCCACCCTGTGCACCTGCTGGCACGGGCAGGCTTCCCCAAGTGAAACACAGTGGCCCCCCGCTCCCCTACTCCCTTTTAGGGGCAGCCCCTAGGCCACTTTCATCGTAAACACAGTCTCAATTCAGAGAATGGAATGGCCAGTGCCCACTGACAGTCAGAACCCTGGGCTCAGGTAAGGCAGATGGCCTTCCCATAAGGAGGGGCTGGTGGTCTTTCTTCTCCACACCTCCTCGCCAGCTCTCCTCCTCCAGTCTCCCGGGTAGAAGTCAGTCCCTGTGGCCTGGTCTCCCAAACCCAGGGACCCAGCTCGAGTCCAGGTGAGCCCACTGGACCCTCCACAGCTGGGGCAGCAGAGGTTGCCTCCCACACCCCCCGCATCAAGGCCAGGCCCCCAGTGTGCTCCGCCCTAGACCCCCTGTCACGTCCTTGCAGTGAGTGTGTCCTTAGAGCCCAAATCCGGTTTTCAGATCTTTCCTTTGAAAGCCCACACACGCTGAGTCACAGCCCGCTCCGTGTGTGGCGTCTGCTGAGCACAGCACCTCGGCTGAACCTTCAAAGTAATACCCTGTTCTACACAGACTACTGAACCCACTGTCTCCGCCTAACAGGCCTGGACGTCCCGCGAGGCGTCCCGTGGGGGTTATGCGACACCCGGGCTGCGGCTCACACATGCAGAGGAGATGCGGCTCCCTGCATTCTGCGATGCCCATCCTGCCGTGATTTTCCCCGGACGACAGGAGACAGGGCCTGGAACTCTTTAAGTCGGCCCCTTGGGTGAATGTTTGACTTGGCCAGCGTCTTGCTCCCCCGGCTCCCCTTCGAGCTGGTCTCTGCTGGATGAGGAGCTGGCGTCTCTGTGGGGTCCCTGGAGAGTGCGGGACCTGTGGTCTCCACGGCAACGGATCTGATGCTTGGTCCAGGTTACCTGTAAACTGAACAGCCACCATTCACCGAGGCTCAGAGAAGTTATGCCACTTGCAAAGGCTCGTGCAGCACAGCTGGGCCGTAACCCAGCTCCAGCTGGCTCCCCAGGCTAGGGAGGGCTGGCCTCACTGGTGGCCCTGCCTTTCAGCCCCTTCACTGGGGATCTTCCTGCCATGTCCCCGCTGGTCCGTGGCTGCTCTTCCACGACGGGCCTGCCGCCTCTTGGCCCAGCCATCTTCTGGGCCCCCACTCAGACCCCTACAGAAACCTCTGCTTCCTGCACTCCCCCAGAACTGAGGGCAGATGAGGGAGCCTGACTCCTGCACAGGCAGGCCCTGAGCCAGGAGCCAAGGACGTGATGGCTCCTGGCCCAGTCACAGCCCTCCTGATGCTCATGCATCATCGAGTGACGAGTGACAGTGGCGATACACCGCAGTCGGGACACGATGTGGGGAGGCCCAGAGAGCCCTGGGGACACCAAAGCAGCTTCTGACTCCACTGGACATCCAGGAAGGCTTCCTGGAGGAAACAGGTGCACACAGAGCAGGGGCTGGGGGAACAGGACTTGCTTCTTGAGCGGCACGGCGAGGGGTGGGGGTCCTCCCAACTGGGGAGGCATCACCACTCCCTCATTCGCTCAGCCATTCACTCAGCAAATCTACACCGAATGCCTGCTGTGTGGACGCCTCCTTGTGGATGCTGGGAAAGGGCAGTTTCGCAAAATGCACCAAGATTTGAAAGCAAGCTGCAATCTGTCAGCTACCCAGACTACCTAGAGAGCAGCTGGATTTCAGAGTCTGGGATAAGAACCCCGAGTTCTAAAGGGGTGACTGCTATTGTTGTTATTATTAATTATTATTATTATTAGCGTTTGTGTAGCACATGCTGTGCGCCGGCACTGTTCTAAGCCTCCAGCGTGAATGAGCCCGTTTCCATTTGGCTCTGTTCCCAGATGTTCGGCTTTTGCAGACATGAGGTCCTGGATGCTCAGGCCTCTGGTCCTTCTCCACCAGTGGGCCTCAGTTTCCCCCTCTGAACAACAAGAAGGATGGGCTTCACGGCCTCCGGGGACCCCTAGGCTCTTGGGCTTCACGATGCTGTGGTGGAACTGGTGTTGCTGAGCCCAGAGAAGCCGCCACTCGGGGAGTCTCCCCGATGGAGGAGTGAGCTCGGCCTGTTCCCAGGGCGTGCTCCCCTGGAGGCGGGGCTGGGGGCTCCCGGGGAGGGGCAGGTGTGCATGCTCCCTGAACAGTGTGTCCTGGAGCACGGCTGGGCCGGGCTAGGCCCAGAGTGTGGCCGGCAATCACCCTTGGAGGCTCGCTGGGGCTGGGCCCACCCTCCACCCTCCACCCTCCACCCTCCACCCCGCCTGGAGCACAGAGGCCTCATGGGGGCAGAATTCTGAAGCAGGGGAGCAGGGAAAGCGCCCCCAGCCAGGGAGGAAGTGAGAGCGAGCCCCCTGCTCGGCCGGCACCCTTGGCTGTTGCGGTGCAGAGATCTGAGAGGGCGTGGCGGGCGTCCTGCCCTCTGAGGCTGGGAAACGGGACAAAACAGGTTTCCTTCAGTCCCAGGTGGGTCTGCTGGGCTCAGTGTCCCCAGCGGGGCAGAGGGCGAGGGTAGAAGGCTGGAGAGGGGGAAGTGGAGTCAGAGGTGTCGGCCTTTGTGAAGACAGCACACCGGTCACCAGGGTCCCCTTTCTGATCCTCCCTCCCACCCCATCCAAGGACCTAGAGCCCCCCAGCGTCCTATCCCCTCTCCAACACTCCAGGTGAGACCCTCTGCTTTGCCCACGGCCTCCCCAGGAAGCTTCCGTGACCCCTAAAAGAATCTCTGCTTCTTACAGCCCCACGTCAGGATGCCTCCTGTTACAGATCAGCCACACCGGAGCGGGCGGCCCACGTGCCAGCAGCTTCCCGCGGAGTCCCTCGACCCCGCGCTGCCCGGGGGACGTTTCTCGGGCACCAGATACACACGCAGCTTCCAGAAAGTTCAGCAGCACACCACCTCAGTGAACTGCTCCATGACCCTGTTGGCCACCGCTGCTCGCTCCCTGAAGTCTGGATCTCAGTCTGGGAAGAGCTGGACTCTGGGATCAGCGCCGCCACTGAGAGGTCCGCCCCCTCCATCTGCGGTTCCTGGCTCTCTAGAGCTCTCACGCCGCCCAGGGGAGAGCCCCTCTCACAGTTAGTAACTCTGTATATTAAACCTTCCTGGTGCCGTTGCTGTGCCATTCTGGCTCCTGAGCGGACCCTGACTGACACAGAATTGTACCAGGCGTGGTCCTGAGGGACACAGCCACGAAGATGGGACGGGAGGCCTGACTCATCATGCTCTGGGGCCTGAGTGCAGTGCCACGCTGAGCTTCCCACCCCGGGACCCGGATGTTGGCCGTCATGGCAGGCTCAGCATCCTCGTCAATCAAGCCTTCGCCTGTGGCTGATTGCAAGGCAGTGCCCGCTGAAGCGTGTGCCTCGGGAGCCCCAGAGGCTTCTGCGCCTGACTCGCGTGGCAGGAACACTACCACGAGGACCGTGCTGTGGGATCATCCCCTGCGTGTGCTGCAGGCTCAGGTCCTTTCCTCTCAGTTCAGGTCGTGGTCTGAAGAGCAGCTTCATGAGAATTCTTCACCCTCCCAGCCGCTGGGTGGATCCTGCTGAAAACCAAAACAGAACGTCTCGTAGTGCCAGGAAGTAAGGAGATGCTCCACACACACACTCACACACTCACTCACACTCGCACTCACTCACACACTCACACTTGCACACACTCGAACACACTCACAGAGACTCACTCTCACACTCATACACATGGTGTGGCATGGCACAGGGACGCGGGAGCCTGCTGAGACAGCACCCTGTGGCCGAAGCTGGAATGGTTTGAGCATTTTAACCCAAAATATAACATAAATATCCATAAAGTCATACTGATGTAAACAGATGAATAAATTGGAAAGAGACAAATCTCCATTGCAGAAGAATCCAAATGACTTGGGTGGACGCCCCCTCCTCGAGTGAGGGCTGGGCAGTGACCTCCTTCCAAAGAGGACACTATGGAAGGGGGGACAGTCTCCTCACAGCAGAGAAACCTGACAAGCACACCCCAGCCGGGCGGTCCGGTCAACATCCCCAGCGATATGCCGTGTTGACCGTACGTGCGATGAAATGGCTCTTGACCCCTCCGGTCTCCCTCCAAAAAAACACACGATTTCAACCTAGTCATGAGAAAAACATCAGACAAACCCAAACTGAAGAACACCCCACCAAACTCCTGGCCGGTGCTCCTCAGAACTGCCAAGGTCATCAAAAACAGGAACATCTGAGAAATCGTGACAGCCAAGAGTTCTGACTAGATGTGACGTGTGTCCTGGATGGGCTCCTGGAACAGGAAACACAGAAGGGGAAAACTAGGGAATCTGAATAAAATGTGGACCCTAGTCAATAAGAAAGTATCAATATGGGTTCATTAATTGTAACAGATGTGCCACCCTCACGGAGGATGTTGACACAGGACACGGAGTGTGCAGTCTATGGGAACTCTACTACTGTCTTCATAATTTGTCTGTAAATCTAAACCTGTTCTAAAACAAAAAGTTTACAAAATCAAATCATAAAATTTACTTATGCAGGTTGCTTATGATGTCAACTGAATTCACAGTCTTGCCGAGTTTGTCACTAATGTTCACACTGATTGGGATCCTGAAACTTGTCATGAGGACATCAGACTGGACCCAAACGGAACTGGCGATCTTGAGCCCCTGGGTCACTCTGAGACCCTTGACACTGGCAGTGACTTGTCCTGTGTCCAAAAAGCCGGACCTTAGTGGGCTTGAAACCCATTTCCACCCCCAGGTCAGCTCACAGCCCCGAGGCCCCTGGAAGCACTTCCGGAAAGAACACACTGTAAATGTCCCCCACGCCTTTTCCAGGGGACCCTCGGCCATTTGCGAGAATAACTGTGAACTGGAGAGAGGAAATCCTCAGCCTTTGGGGATTACGAAGCACCAGCTCTGAAGTGTTGGTAAATCTGGGGGCCCAAAACATGACCACAGCCCATCAGTCCAAATGGGGGCCCCCAGTGGCCAGGAAATTGATGGAGAATTAGCTCGAGGCTGACTCACAGCAGTGAGCTCTCCACGCACCCACACTGCCGTTATTTGCCCAGTTCCGGAACATATCATTGGAATAGACGTACTTGGGATAGGCAGAACCCCCACCTTGGCTCTTGACCCATGGTTTGGGGCCTTTATAGCAATTCCATTATTCCTTCCTCGGAACGTGGGAAGGGCTGAATGGAAACCCTGGAACTTCCTTTCCTTTCAAGATAGAAAACCAGAAGCGATACTCTGTTCCTGGGGAGCCTGCAGGAACCGATGCCACCACCAAAGGCTGGAAAGCAGCAGCAATGACAACGCCTGAGACACCCCCCTCTGATCCACCTGTACGGCCTGCGCAGAAATGGGTGGATCTCAGAGAGTGACTGCACTACCGTAAACTTAATCTGCTGGAGAATCCACCTGCACGCGCCGCCCGTGTGTCTTTACTGTAGCAACCGACATGGCCACCGGCATGCGGCGGGCAGCTGTTGACCTAGTTAACGCCTTCCTCTCCATACCAGCTTGAAAGGATGCCCAGAGCAGGGTTTTCACCCAGCAGGGCCAACATACACATGCACAGCATTGCCTCAGGATTATGTCGGCTCTCCCCCTCTCCACCATAATCAGGTCCAGAGGTCTCCTTTCCATGGAGCATCACCCTGTCATTGCATGGGTGACGTCACCCTGACTGCACCCACGAACAGGAAGTGGGAAGAACTTTAGATGCCTTAGTAAGAAACACGCTAACCAGAAGATAGGAAATAAACCCCACAAAACTTCAGGGATCGGCCATGTCAGTGAAGTTTCCGGGGGCTCTGCGGCCTGGAGTATGTCAAGATATTCCCTCTGTGGTGGGACATAAGATGCTGCACCTGCCACCCTCTGTTTGAACGTGCACCCTCTGTCTACTGACAGGGCCACCTGCGAGGCTGCCGGTTTCAATGGGGACAAAAGCAGGAGAAAGATGGGCGGCAGGTCGGGATGCAGCACGGGCTGCTCTAGCTCCTGGATCTTATGATGCAGATGACCCAATGATCCCTGAGGTGTCTGTGGCAAATGGGGATGCTGTATGGAGCTGCTGGCAACACCAACAGGAGAAGGAAAGCGCAGCCCTCGAGGATGGGGAACAAACCTGCCCCCTCTTCTGCAGACAACTCTGCTCCTTTTGAGCAATAACTTCTGGCGTCCCCCTGCGGCTTAGGAGCACCTACCCAGGAGATTGCTTGACCCGCCCAGCCGGAAGGTGGACCGTGAACAGACAGCTGACACCGAATAAGAATGTATGTTCAAGGCCCCGCCCAAGAGGGTCCAGAGTTAGTGAGTGAGTGGCTCAGATCCCTGCATCTCCTCCTCTTCCTCAGTTCATGCCTACAGCATGCTGGGGCTTCCTCACAGCCAGGTGATGGAGGAAGAAAAAACTGGAGCCCGGTTTACAGACGGGTCTGTGTGATTTGCTGGCACCGTCCACAAGCGGACAGCACTCAGCCCCACTCAGGCTGGCCCTGGAGACAACAGAGGAACTTCCTCCCTGGGGCAGAACTTGGAGCGGCGAGTTTGGTTGTCCACTCCGGCGGGAGTGAGAGATGTCCTGAGGGACAGATTGACACTGATTTATGGGCAGTTGCTAACAGATGGGCTGGAGGGTCAGGGAATTGGAGGAACAGAACTGGAAGATGAGTGACAAGGACGTCTAGAGAAGAGAGATGTCGATGGACCTCTCTGAATGGGCACAAACTGTGAAGACGTGTGTCCCACGTAAGTGCCCATCAAATGGCATCCACTGCAGAGGCTCTTAATAATCAGGCGACTCTGTGGATGTGAGTCCATCAGCCCCTACCCCAGCCACCCCAGTACTCACTGGGCCGGCCCACAGACAGAGTGGCAGGATGGGAAGGAGGGAGGCCTTGCTTGGGACCAGCGCCGACCTCCCCTGACCTGGCTTCCCACTGCTGTTGAACAAACAGCAGAAACCCACACTGTATTCCCCAATATGGCACCATCCCGAGGGAGAACCCGGCAGCCGCCTGGGGACTTTGAGCACATTGGGCCCCTTCCTCCGTGGGGCACAGCCACACCCTCCCCAGCTCCTCCAGCGAGGCCCAGCCCTCCACCTGGGCAAGAGGAGGAGGCCCTCCCAGATCCGCTCCTTCCCGCAGGGACAGTGGCTGCTCCCTGTACCTGCTGTTCCCTCTTAGACTTCCCCTCACCCCTCAATAGGCGCCTTCGCCCCTATTCTCCATAATTCTCTGTGCTAATGTCCACCTTCCCACTGCGGCGCAAGGGCACTGCTCGCCTGCAGCTTCCGTCTCCGGACTGGGCCCTGACTCGTCTTCCCCGAGAATCCTCTGAGTGTTTCCCTTCATGAAGGAAGGTTGATGGCACATTTGTCTGAAAGTGTGTTTTACTCACCTATATTCTCGAAACTCACTCTCCCGGGCAGAATTCAGTATTCTGAGCCGTTTTCCCTCCGTCGTTTGAGACTCGCTCCTCACTGTCTGCTTCCATTGTGTCTATGGAGGAGTTGATGGTGTCTATTTGTTGCTCTTTTGAAGATAATCTGTCTCTTCTGGCAACTTGAGGGATTTTCTCCCCGTCTTCTGTTTTCCACATTTTAACACGACATGCCTGAGGGTCTGCTTGTCTCCGTCTTACTCGGGGTTTGCAGAGTCTTTGGGATCTGCAGCCTGATGCCACAGTCAGCGGCACGGAGTTAGAACTCTACATCTGTTGCTCGCACGGTCCCCAGCCTGCCTTTGAGGGAGAGGTTGCAGGGAGAGCGGCAAACGTGCGAATACATCTTCAGGGCAGGTTGATAGAGCCAGGCTGGGAGTCACTGCCCCCCAGGCTGCTGGGCCAGACAAAGCGGAGTATACTCAGGTCAGCCCCCAGGAGGACCGGGCCTGTCTGCTTCACCTCCTCGGAGCGGTTGAGGCCTGTCCCCACCAGTGTGAGCAGGGTCCTGGCCCCCAGCCCCGGCTTTCTCATCTTCTCCCTGGCTATGGACACTTGTCTCCTTGAGGCATGTGGCCTGTAGCCGTCCTGGTCCCGGGTTCCTTCCCCTCTGGGTCCCAAGCCCTTCTCTCTGAGGATGGTGGGCCTGCACCCACGGCCTCTGCACCCACCCCTCCTCCTGCCATGAGTGTGGTCCAGAGGTAAGTCCTAGGGATGTCCTTAAAGTACCATCTTGGTGGGCTGGGGTTCCCTGAGCAGTGGGGGTTCCCTGTGCCAATAATCCAGGACAGTGATCTTCAAACCGGCAGAATGGGCACTGCAGGCGGGCCTCAGGACGCAGGACCTCCAGGAGCCAATGCTGCCCTCTCCCCTCTCCCCTCCCTCCCCTCTGTCTTGCCACTGGAGTCATGCACAGCAGCCTGGATTTGGCTTCTGATGTGGACAGGGAGCCCCAACCCACCAGCTGGACTGTCCAGCTGCCTGTTGCCTGCTGGGTTATTCTGGTGTTTTCTCTGAGCAGCAGTAAGTTAGATAAAAGATCCTGCAGTCACACATGGACCCGGAAATTAATGAGCAGCAGCCCCTGAAGCCACCTGCTGCCCCAGAGACAGATGTCCGGGGTCTTCCCACCTGAGATCCCTCAAAACAAGAAGAACCACTTTTCACTCCCGACCGCTGGCTTTGCATCACTCTGGGTCCTGTGCCCAGGGACCCTGCCAACCACCGCTGCCAGATTCTTGTCCACTATGCCCACTGGTCCAGCCAGTCCCCTCAGAGGCTGTTTGGCTCCCCTGAAACCAGCACAGGCTGCTGTTGTGCTTTGAGAAGATAAATTTGCCCTCAAAGTGCCCCTGAGTGGCGCTCTGAAGCCCCCAGGCCACCACGAGTCTCCACTTGCCCTCTCCTCCAGCCCTGGGCCCCTTGAGGGCCCCCTGCTTTCTCCAAGTGGCCTCCCAAGGGAGACAGATCCTTGAAACACAGGGAGGTCCCACCATCCCGTTCTCTTGTCCGGGTGCCCTCAGTCCCCTGCACTCAGGGGGAGGCGTGGGGCAGACAGCAGGGCACCCGCTCCCGTGACACACACACTCTCCCACTGGGAGCAGGCCCCGTTCTTTGCCCCGCAGCTCCAGACAGGCCCAGCATCCCGGTGAACGCAGGTGTGCAGGAATCCTCATCTGAAGGGGCAGGTACAGCTCCTCTGCTCCCAGCGAGACCCTCTTCTCCACCCCCCTCGGCCAATCCTCAGGCCCCCACTGGCCCCTCCACCCTCCAGGGCTGCTGGGCGGAGACTCACTACATCACAACCCCTCATTTGCATGGGCTTGGCTGATTGGCTGGAAGGAGACCAAGTCTGGTCATTTGCATGCTCCCAGGGGTTCTGGTGGTCATTCCCCATTGTCTCCAGGGCCCTCTGATTGGCTGGCCCTAGGGAGGTCCACCCTGGTGGTCCAAGGACCCACAGGCTCACCGGCTGCTCTGGGGGTCCACAGAGCTGGCCAGCCCTCTCCCTGATGGCCATGGGACTCCAGGCTGCAAGTGGGACCACAGTTACCGGAGCACCCTGTGGTAAGGTCACCTCTCCGATTCTTAACTCTCCTGGAGGCCTTCATGAGAACAGAATGAGACTGGTGCTTGACCTCTTCCCTGGGGGCTGTGGTGGACAGAGACCCCGTCTCAGCCCTGGTTTCTCCACTCGTAGCTCGGATGGCTCTGAGCCCCAGTTACTCATCTCTCAGCTGGCCACAGGAACGCCACCCCCTGGGGTCAGGGGACAGGGGGGTGATCTGGAAGGTGTGTCAAGACAATGTGGTCACACCCTCACACCTGTGAGAAGGGGCTACCAGCACCTGTCCTGTGGTCCCCGGGTGCCTGGGAGAGTCAGACACCATCTCGTGTACAACTTATCGGGCAGCCTTCGTGCAGCCCCTCTCAGACGCTGCCCCTGTTGCCCCCTCGTGCTCCTCCATCTCCCGGAGCTGGAGCCAACTGAGGCTGGGAGTGCCCTGCCTTTTCTAAACGAGGCTCTGGGGGTCCAGGGGCTCAGGCCTTGCCCAGGTCCAGGCTGGCGGGCGGTGGGGCTGGAATGCTCCCCTCCCTCCTCCCCATAGACCTCCCGGGGGTGGGGGATAAACCTGAGTGCAGCCCTTGCAGGGAGAGCCTGCCGGCTGCCAGGCGGCTCTGCTGGGCTTCCCGTGGCCTTGCGCGGCAGCGGCGGCTGGCAGGCGAGCTGCTCCCGAAAGAAGGCTGTGTACCAACAATGACAACAAAACACTCAAATAGCTTCAAGCTGTTGGTTCAGAGAGACTGTGTCCCGCGAAAACAAACAAACACAGGCTTGAAAGCCGCCGTGGTGGCTCGTGGCTGCTGAAGCGGCAGTGCCACGTGGAGGGCCTTGCTCTGCAGGACCCTGGGGCGGCGGCACCTGCGCGGAGGGCCCTCCCCCGGGGACGTGCACACGGCCACCTTCACACCCTGCTCAGAGCCATCCCAGACGGCTCACAGGCGCCCTCCGAACACAGAAGGCTGGCAGGGCCCAGGAACCTGCCTCATCCGGCCATGAGGGGCCCTCACCACGACCCCCCGACCTGAACTGGAGGAGGAGCCGTGCGGGCCGGCTGCTCTGAGCCGGCTTCCTGGGACTGCCAATGACCACAAATGGGGCTTCACACAACACCCGTTTATCCTCCCACGGTTCTGAGGCCAGAAGTCCAGAAAAAGTGTCAGCAGGACTGCACTCCCTCCAAAGGCCCCTGGGGAGATCCTTCCTGCTCTTCCAGCCTCTGGTGGCTCCAGGGGGCCCTGGGCTTGTGGCCGTATCCCTCAAGCGATGCCTCCCTCCTCACATGGCCTCTTCTGTCCCTGTCTCTCCATGTGTTTCTTATAGGGACACTTGTCATTGGATTCAGGGCCCACTGGGGTAATCCAGGACGGTCTCCTCATCTCCAGTGCTGGGGAGCCAGGAGGACCAACCCTCTCAAAACCCTGAGAGCAAGGTGGGAGAGGCTGACCCTGGGGTGAGCGTTGTCCTCCCACCTCTCCTCCCATATGGAGAACTGCGCACCATCTGGTCTCCCCTCGCTGGCCACCAGCCACGCCCACCCCAGCCATGGCTCTGCCTCATCCTAGGGAGCCATGCGGGACTCTGGGCTCTTGGTTCATGATGATGACAAGGTCCAGATGTGGCCATGGCAGTGGGCAGATGAAGTGGGGCAGACACCCAGGTCACTGGTGGAGGGACTGAGGCCCCCAGAGACCCGGAGCTCTTCTGCAAGGCTGCTCTGGATGAGCCTCACTCATCGGCTGCTCTCAGACTGGCTTCCCTTCCCACCGCCAGCCAGGGACTCCAGTCACCGGTCTCGCCAACTCCACAAGTTTGCCCCGTTGCACCAGCTGGAAAACCCCAGCCCTTGATGAACCTGCTCACTGGTTTCTCTGAGTCTTCATCCAGCTGCTAAACACTGCTCGAAAAAAGCCCAGAACCACAGGTGGGTGCTTCCTCCAGCGCGTGGCTCCCCACGTCAACCCCCTCGTCTCTGACAAGATTGCCCCCCTCGACAGTGACTCTGACAACCCAAAATGAGCGTTTTATTTAAAAAGAAAAAAAGTAGGCGGGAACTTATTCTTTTAAAATGTTAATCTTATAAAAGATGCCATCTGTGGAGCTGTTCCAGATGAAAGGAAGCCGAGAAGACCTGGGAGACCAGCACAGAGCCGCCGAGACGGCAAAGTGAAAGACTGAGAGCGCCATGCCAGCGAGGACGCGGAGCACCAGAGTCCGCGGTCAGCGGGTGCAGAGGAAACGGTGCATTCATGTCTGAAGTCAGCCCAGCAGGCCCATCAGGGTAACACGCCGCCCTACAACCCGGTCATGCCTCTCCTGGGCCCGTTCGCAAGAGAAGGGAAGCAGGTTCACACATGATCCGCGCATGAATGCTCACAGCCAGGGAGGACACATCCCAGCATCCATGGACAGGTGTGGGACAAACCTTCTGCGGTCCGTTCGTACGGCGAGTGGTCCAGCAAAGCTCAGGAACAAAGTGGGGGCAACGCGATGTGTGTGACCCTCACAAACACGCTGAGTGGGAGAAGATGGACACAGAGAGTGCTCACTCTGATTCCACCCGGAGGAGGCTGCAGAGCCGGCACAATGAAGACGGCGGAAGGTCTCAGAGCAGCAGCTGCCTCCGCGTCGGGGAGGACTGAAGGGGGGAGACCGGAAGACTCCATCTGGGGGTGGGAGTCTTCAAATCTTCAGACTGCACACTTACTGCGTGTCCATTTCACTTCAATTCAAACAATAGACTGCACTAAGATCCGAGTGTGACCGCACACTGCCTGGGCAAGGCTGTGGAGACAGGCACCGCCCCACCGCTGCTGTGAGCACGGGCGGGTGCAGCCTCTGTGCAGGGCGACTCAGGAAACTGCCATCAAAACACTGCTGCATGCACCCTGGCCCAGTTCCACTTTGAAAATGCCGCTTGCAGACACTCTTGCCCGTGTGCACAACAGCAGGTGCAGAAGGCTAGCCGTCCCAGCACAGCTCCTAATGGAAAATTTAATAGCACAAAGGGGTGTACGTGGAACGCTACCTGTTGCTTAAAAATGAGGGATATAAGTATATATTCAGATTTGCTTGTAATTGCCTAAAGAAACTGAAGACATTTCAGACGTTAGTAATAATGGCCAATCGCTGACCACGTAAAAGCTTAATCTGTTCAGGCTGCCGTAACAGCATCCAACAGACTGGATGGCTCATAAAGAGGAACGTTTTCCTCCCAGTTCTGAGGCTGGATTCCAGGATCAGGATGCCAGCACGGTTGGGTGAGGGTCTTCTTCCGGGTGCCAGAATCCTCGTACTCTTACGTGGTGGAATGGCTGTCTGCAGCCTTTTCTATGAGCAGTAACCCCGTTGTCCAGGGCTCCACCCTCATGACTTGAGCACCTCCCAAAGGCCCCACCTCCTAACGCCATCACATTGGGGTGAGGATTTCAGCATATAGATGGCCCCTGAGAGCATCTGCCTGAGTCCTCTGCCACGGGAAGGGAAAGAGAAAGGAAGAGGGCTTTTGAGAAAAGAAACCAGAGCGAGGCTTGGCCAGCTGTGCCTCTGCACACACTGCAGCAGACAGCCGTATTAAAGAAGAGTTATCGAGTTATCGTCACGGAGGAGGTGACTTCACACCCACTCGCGAACTCTTCAAACATAGAGAAAAAGATCACACCTACAGAACAGATGAGGAATCTCCACAAGAGAAATCACCCGAGAAATGCAGGGGTTTGCGAGGCTTCCAGCCAACCTGACCTTCCTGCAGCTCGAGGAAGAGACTCGAGGCTTCAAAGAGGAGACGAGATGACAGAAGTCAGGAGCCACTGAGCATAGAAGAAAGATGGAAGCGAGAAATTCTTTTGGAGGTGACAGCCACGTCTGAAAGAAGACCCTGGGAATGCCTTGAAGACAAAGGGTTTGGGCTTAAGGAAATCACACCAAATAAAATAAAAATAACTACAATGTAAAAACAAAGAAGAGAAGAGAGTAGGGACAGAATTCAAACCAAGATCTAATATGCGCATCATTGGTGTTCCTGAAGACGAGAACAAAACGCAAGACAGAAAAAAAAATGCTCTAGAATGTAAGAAAATACACGTCCCTTACCTCAAACTCGAATCTTCAGTTCAAAGTTGCTCATGTCCTGGGGGCAGGGCGGGGGCGGCTAATACACAGCAAGATGTTCCACTGAAGCCGTTGAATGTCAAGGATGCAGAAATGCTCACATGGACCGTCATTTAAGTGTCAGGAGTTCTGATATTTAGCTACAAAGTTCCGAGGGCAAAAAAAGTATGGCGCCAGGGTTTTATAGCCAATAAATCTACCTTTAAGTAGAAGGAAACAGAAGCTGTCACGCACGCAAGACCTTGTAGACACACAGGCACACGGGAGAAGAAAGAGCGGGATCACAGGGTGCCCGGGGAGGGCCTGGAGCCCGTGGTCCCCATGGTAAGTGGTCATAGCACAGACTCTGGCTCCCAAAAGTGCTCTAGTCTGAGAGTGAAAAGGTGCTAAAAAGGAGATTATGATGTCAACTGACAAAACCGGAATATGGACGTATTAACGTAGAAACGTATTAATGTAAATTTATGAAGTTGATGACCATGTTGAGGTTCTGTAAGAGAATACTCTATTCTTAAGAAAAACACAGTGAAATCTTTAAAGGGGTCACACCACGTGTGACTCATCCTCTAATTGTTCAGAAAGCTTAGGAGAGTGTGTGTGTATACGTGTATATATAGGTATGTGCGTGTGTGTGCACGCAAACGATAAAGCAAATGGGATGAAATAGTAGGTGAATCGGGTAAAGAGCATATGGCTGCTGCTTGTACTATTTCTGTTTTTTGCAACTTTTTGTAAATTTGAAATTATTTCCAAATAAAAGGTCTAAGGAGAAGAGGACAAGTGCTCCAGGCTGAACAAAAAAGACACGGTCAGCCAGCACGAGCTCCTCCTCCACACCCACAGGTGACAAACCCAGACGACCAGGCACCGGAAGACGACAAAGGGTCAAGAATCCAGCAACCACGACAAGGCTGGGCGAGCTGTGAAATTATTTAGGAATTAAAGTGAGCAACAGTGGAGACCCCCCCACCTGTGAGGAACGGAAGTTGAAACTTACGAACTTTGATAACCTAAGAAAAAATATTAAATTAATATAGTGGTGAAACTTGATCTTAAGCCAAGCTTTCCTCCAATTTCGCTCTGGTTTATTTTGGTTAAATTCAAACCCACGGCATGTGGTGCCTTTTCTTATCGGTTATGACCCCGCGACCCTGAGATTACTTCTGTTCGCAGCCCGCTCCGTCCATCGTGGCTGCGCCGTGTGGGGTGTGCTCTCTTACGATGCTGCACAAACATGGAACACAGCTGGTCATCTGCAAGGAGAGCTCGGAGGTGTTTTTGACTTCCTCTGTCGCCTTTCTTTCTTTCTTTGTTTTATATAATGAGGATACACCTTTCTTACCAAACAAAGCCATTTCTCTGGCTTTAAAAGGGAAAGGACCAGCCTCACTCCTCCCCTCTCAGGGCCGGAGGACCAGGGCACGACTGAGCCTCTGCGACTCCAGGACCTTTCCTACACAGCTTGGTGGAGGGTCTGTGCTGTGGGGCCACCTGGAGTCCTGCCAAGGATGGGGGACCTCACCCACACCGTGGAGCCACTCCAGGCTTCCCACACTTGAACGTATGATTTCTCAGCCAAAGGACAGGCTCGGCTTTTTGTATCCTGGAATTAACGCACGTGGACAATGGGATCCACTCATGTTCCATGGAAGACAAGATGCGTGTTTTTTCTTAAGTGAGGAATTCTCAATACAGACCTTCGAATGCCTTCTGTCATCATAAAGCCTTCACATGTCATGAGAAATGCCTTCTGCACTCCGCGTCCCTCTCGTTAGAACGTTGCCTTCGCGAGGCCCTTCTGCCCACACGCGGGGGCCGCCACTGACGCACGCATATGAACTAAAGCGCACGCTTGATTCAGATTCTTTCGTTTTCCCTGACGTCTCTTTCTATTCCAGGATCGCATCCAGGACTCCACACCACATTTAGTCATCCCGTCTCTCCTCAGGCTCCTCTTGGCTATGACAGTGGGAAATTGTGATATAATAAGAAATATATATTTAGTCTCTGTCCCTGGTTCCTGGCACAGAGCTCCGAAAACCCTTAATTTCCTGAGTGACGGTGAGAGAGGAGCATCTTTTGTAATTCATAATACAACCTTCGACCATCCCTGAATTCCTGATAATGAGGTGACTCTTGCTGAGCCACTAGATAGCGTCTGGAGGGGGGCTGGCGGCCAGAGGACCCAACTGTGTGATTGGAGGGTGGGAATCTCAATCCCACCCCCCCCCCCAAACCACCAGCCACCAGGGAGGGGACAGGGGCTTGGGATCGAGTTAGTCACCAATGGCCAATGATCTAATCAATCGTGCCTGTGTAATGGAGCCTTTATAAAGACCCTAAACAATGGGGTTTGGAGAGTTTCCTGGCTGGTGAAAGCATCCGTTTGCCCGGGGGGTGTACCCCAGACTCCACGGGCACAGAAGCTCCTCCACTCGGGACCCTCCGGAGCTCACTCTAAGTACCTCTTCACCTGGCTGTTCATTTGTATCCTTTATAATAAGCCAGTAAATGTAAATAAAGTGTTTCTCTGAATCCTGTTCTAGCAAATTAGCCAATCCAAGAAAGGAGTCGAGGGAACCTCTGATTTTAGCCGGTGGATCGTAAGCACCGGTGGCTGGACTTGCGGTTGGCTGGGCATCTGAATTGGGGGCAGACTTGTGGGCCTGAGCCCTGAACCTTCGGGGTCTGCGTTATCGCCACAGGGTTATTGTCAGAATTGAATTGTAGGACACCCAGTTGATGTCTGCAAAAAACTGGAGAATGCTTGGTGTGGAAAACCCACACATTTGGTGTCATAAGTGTTCTGTGTAGCTGAAAACACCACAGAAGTGGGAGCCGGCTGGTCTCAGACTTCTCTTGAGTTTGACAACCCGGACGGTCTGGAGAAGGACTGGTCAGGCATTTTGGCAGGTATTTCCCAGTTCTATTGGAAGTTGTCTGATGTTTTTCCCATGGTTGACGGGTGTGATGGGCTCCGGGAAGATATCACAGAGATGGAGGGCCATTTTCGTCACATGATATGGAGGGTACCTAGCATTCACAGGACTCAGCACTGTGGACGTTGACCTTGACCACCAGGCTGGGGCGGGTTTGTCAGGTTTCTCCTCTGTAAGGTGACTCTTTTTCCCACACTTCCCACTGTACTCTTTGGAAAGAAGTCATTAGGTGCAGCCCATACTAAGGAGCGGGGAGCTGCGCCTCTCCTCTTGGAGGGGGCATCTATATATATTATCATTCTTCTGCAGGGACATTAGTCTCTCTGCCTCCATTTACCTGTTCGGTCATTTACCTAAATAAGTTTAGACCCATGGATATTTATTTTATTCTTTGATTTATAACCCAATACTACTTGTTTTTTGCCCAAATTGCTCCAGCTTTGGCCTCTGGGAGCTCTTTTCAGTCATCTCCCGTGTCCCTGTCCCATGCCCCCATCAAGGAAGGGTTTTTTTTGTTGAAGTCCTTCCTTACTACAGGCACGTCTCGTACATTTCTTGCCTCAGTGCTGGAATCAGCCATTTCTCCAGGGAGCCCTGTTCACGTATTGGAGGGCGGTGTTAGAAGCCACAATCTGAGCACTGAGCGTGTTCGTTCCTGCAGGGATGTCCTCTCCTCTAGGCCGTCAGTGCTGACAGAGCAGAGACGTATGCATGTGAACCGATCCAGGTATACACACGTATCCACAAATATTTCTATATGTAATCATTTGTATCTATATTGTGCTAAACCTGAGTTCATGCTGATATCTTCAACTAATCACCATCGCACGGGTCGTTCTGGCCTCCTCCCCTGCTTACCTGTAAATTCCTGCTCCAGCACCCAGGGGCCTGACTCGCACTGTTTGCCATCCATTTTCTTAATTGTTCAGACCCAGCATACGCATATTGTGGCATCACGTTGTGAGTCCGCAGCCCCGTGGAAAGCAGCTTTATCAGCCACAAGACAGTGCTTGTGGATACTTTCTTTCGGCTTTGGTCGTACAGACTCATTTCCAGTGACTCAGGACGGCACCTGCTCTCCCGAACTCCTTCCATGAGGTTGTTTCTTACATTTCTATTACATTTAGATTCTCTTGCCACAATCTGTGTTCATTTCTGGGATCTCTTGAGCTCCTAAATTTTTTTTAATTGGCATACATTAAGGGTTACTCTGGGCTATAAAGCTCTATGGGTTTCAACAAATGCACAGTGTCATATATCTTACAGGATCATACGGAAAAGTTCTGCTGCCTGTGCTCCGTCTCTTCCTCCCTTTTTCTCCCCAAGTACCTGGAAACCACTGATCTTTTCACTGTCTCTGTAGTTCTGTCTTTTCCAGAACATCATAGAGTTGGAATCATACAGTGTTCACACTTTTCAATTGGCTTCTTTCACTTAGCAATACACATTTAAAGTTTCTCCATGTCTTTTCGTGGCTTGATAACTGATTTCATTTTCTTGCTGAGTAATATTCCATTGTTTGGATGTACACGATGTATTTACCTTGAAAATCACCATAGTTGCTTCCAGTTTGGGGTAGTTACGGTGAGAGTTGCTATAAACATTCAGGTGCAGGATTTTGTGTGGACATAAATTTTCAAATCAGTTGAATAAATACCAAGGAGTACCATTGCTGGGTTGAAAGGTGAGAGTATGTTTAGCTTCTAAGGAACTGACAAACCGTCTTCCAACGTGGCTGCACCATTCTGGGCTCCCACCAGCAAGGAATGAGTGTCTGAGTTCCTGTTGCCCAGCATCCTCGCCAGTACTTGGCGTTGTCAGTTTCTTTTGTCATTATGTTAGCTCTTCTGACGGGTGTGTAGTGGTATCTTCTTGTTTTAATTTGCAATTTCATAATAAGAGATGGTTTTGGTTATCTTTTGATATGCTTTTTTTGCCATCTGTTTATCTTCTTTGGGGAGCTGTCTGTTCAGATCTTTTGCCCACTTTTAATTGGGATGTTTTCTTGTTGCTGAGTATTAAGATTTCTTTATATGCTTTGGACGGAAGTTGAGAATCTGGTGTTGGTATTAGGGTAATGCTGACTTCTTAGAATGAACTAAGAAATATTCCCTCTGCTTCTATTTTCTGGAAGACACTGGAGAAAATTGAAACCATTTCTTCCTTAAAAGTTTGATAGAATTCACCAGTGATGCCATCAGGATTGGTGTTTTCTGCCCCTAGAAAGCTATGTAATCATGGATTGAGTTTCGTTAATAGACACAGGCCTGTTCAGATGACCTGTTTCTGCTTGCGTGAGTTTGGGTAGTTTTTGTCCTTCAAGGAATTTGTCCATTTGGTCTAACTTATCCAATCTGTGGGAACCAAGTTTTTCGTGGTGTCCTTTATTATCCTTTTAGTCTCTGTGGGACCGGCAGTAAAGTCAGTCTAGCTTGACAATCCACAGAATCCACAGATTGGGAGCCCACCCGGGCCTGGGTCCAGAGCTCCGGTGTTGGCCTCAGGAGATTTGAGACCACCTTCCCAAGTCTGGCATAGGCTACTGGGATGTGCTCTGACCTTGCCTTGTTGTTGGGCTTATTTTCCTTCCAACTTTACAGCTTCCCCATCTTGAAGCAGCTTCTGATATAGGATTGGAAGAATATTCTCTTTCAGTTTCATCCCGATCAGATGAGTGCTGGAGTCCCTGTGCTTCTCTTTTGGAGCAGAGCCATCCTCAGGATTGGGGATCACAGCCAGGAGATGGGGACCTGGGTCAAGGAGATGGTAGCCCACGTCTGTGCCCCAGTCAAAGCTGTGGGGGCTCAGAGGGAACAAGAGTGTTTTCTGGGGTCACTGGCTCACAGCCCGATGTGGCGGCAGGAGGCCTGGAGACAGGGCAGCCCCACCTGATGGGGAGTGATTAGAGCTTGGAGAGGTAATTCTTAAACTTGTCTGAATACTGGAACTTAAGAAAAGCACTGATATCCAGGCTCCGTGCCAGAGATGCTCACTTAATTGGTTTTGGGTGCAGCCTATGTTCTGGTACCTTGGATAAAGGCCCAAACACAGGCACCGACTACTCTAGGAGCATTTCACCCACAAACGTCCACAAATAATGGGAAGGATGGA